CTGGTTTGAATCTTGGGTCGCAGGGGTGTGAGGAGCTCTGATATGCATTTTGCGTCGTCCCATTAGTCCAAGGTTGGCCCCATTCGTCCACAGTTCTATGTTCATGATAACGGCCATGCATCCTAGAAAATTTACAAACAAGATGCATCATGAGCATTCCCGAACGGGGTTTGGTTAGGGTGAGGTTGACTATCTCCCTCATCCTCCAGCTTCTTTCAGCAATATAGCGCCTTGTTTTGGCAACGGGAACTAACAGCCAGCGAACACAGTGTCATGTCATGTTGGAAACCATGGCGAGGAAGAATGTTTCATGCTAGGGTCTGCTTACGCTGATGACCGAAGTAGGACAGCATTGCATCCTTTGCACAGGACAGTTTGCGTCACAGTGATTCCACATTTGGCAGTTGTGCCGCGGGATGGCAAAAGGCCTTTGCTTGTGGCACGCAAGTGTGGACGTTTGTTTCTTGCCCGTTGCACCCGCATTTTGTGAGCTGCTGTTGCAATCCCAGTTTTTGTTGTAGCTCATGACGTGTTGACGCAGCCAATGTCCGGCAGGGTGGCCATGGGAAATTTTGGGGCTTAGGGCCTAAGATGAACCCTAAAGCCCGAAACCCGCTCAGGGTCCAGGAGTCCCGGGGGCATCTTAGGACCCAAATTTTGTTGTAGGTAAATGTCGTGGAGACAACGCAGGGCTTTTGGCATGTGAAGCGTTCGGTTTAGGGCTGACGGCTTGGGGGTTTTGGGATCAAGGTTAAACCTCATGCCGAGCCTCTGTCAGTCAAAAGATTTGTGCCACTAAACCATTAACCCAAAAGCTTCATCCCTGGCTTCATGCTGGGCAAATCACGGAGTTCAACTCAACACTAATCCCACCCGGGAGAAGTTGAGGGTTTGGGTTTGGGGGTTTCGATGCAAAAGCCCCAACCTCTTGAAGCAAATTTATCAAAAGATCTTAAAATTTTTAGGACTACCAACACCTCATTTTTAGCCTTTTGACATGAAATTCTGAAACCGTCGAACCCAAACCCTGAGCCGTTAGGGGTTACCTACATCGCTGCGGGGCGTACGCATGAAACGGCAAATTGGGCACCCTCAGCTGTCAGGCACCTGTTTAGGATTTTGGGCTTAAACATTCGACCCTAAACCGTGTACAGTATCTGGCACCTGCGCTTTATTATTTTGGTACCTGAAGTTTTGGGGAATAATGACGACTGGGAAGAATTTTGCTTCGCAAGGCCACGCAAAACTGAAACACAAGAAACAACAATCCCAATTCACATTGTGAGCTCTGTTGTAAACCACCAAAATGGAAACATGAGGCTTAGTTGATGGATTTGCGTTTGCATTCGTTTTGCTGGCTTTGCGGTCGTCGTATATTTGGGTGGGTTGTTTGTATAGATTCCGCTTGACCAAACGGCTTTCGGATTGAGGGAGAGGCCCCGCACCAACAACAAATCGTTCAGCTGCGGTTCTTGGGTTAGCCGCGCGCCACATGAAACTCACTTCAACCTGTCTACTTGTAGCTATGATTTTTGATGGGGCTACCGCCACCGCGACCACCACCGGCACACGACCACGACCGCGACCAGCACCACCACGACCACCACGACCACCACGACCACCACCACCACGACCACCACCACCACGACCACCACGACCACCACGACCACCACGACCGACACGACCACGATTACTACGATTATTTAATCGGTATTTTTACGATGTAACAATAACAAGAATATGAGTAAGAATACAGCTAGGAATATTGATGCGAGTACCAATATGAATGTGATGGTAATAGTAATTACCAAATTAAGTCGAATAATATAACGTGCAAAAGCTAACGCCAGTAATTCTATACTACCAGAACACTCCGGGCAGCAACCTGAGCAGGCAACTGCATGCTAACTTCCTTTATTGAAGGTTACACCCCCTCCGACCGGTCCTCATGCCATCCGTCCTGGCAGCCGAAAACTCTTGCAGGCCTCGCTACATCCCGTTCTCGCGAGCACCGATGACGCAACCACACTCCTGCCATCCGTTCCGCGACCAGCCACCTCGCTGACCAGCTCTCCTGCTGCCAGTCATTCTCCCCACCACCCTGACCACTCCTCCTGGCATCCATCCCGGCGATCACCCTCCTTCGCAGCTAAGCCTCTTGCCATGCCGTGCCCGAGACCTCTCCTCCGGCCATCCGTCCTGCCACTCCAACCCCAGAGGGATTTGTCGGAAAAGAGGAATTACACTTGACCCAACGAACCACTCTAAAGGGTAGTGCCTGCCATACACAAGGATTTGCGTTCACGTCAACGCATTACGAGGCTGCTGCGTGGCAATCACGAGAGCCGGCAAATTACGCAGGCAAGATCGCGGTAGTCTTACGCTCCGAATTCCTTTCCTCGACTCCTGACAGCAACTGCTTTCGCATGCATTCACATAAGCTTCTATCTGCCAGTCTTAGGCATTGTGCAGACACTTGATGCACTCAGGCACGGTAACATATTATGATTCTCATCTTGCCTTGAATCCTAGCAAGCTCATGTTCTGTTCAAACTGGCTGTTTGCGCTGTTTGCCATCGGGATGGGAGCAAAGCTTGCTAGAATGTCTTGCTTGACTTGCTATTTCGTTGCTGATCATTGCAACGGTGTGCCAGGTCTACGGCTTCTATGCTGAGTGCGTGCGGAAGTATGGTGATGCCTCCGTTGGGACCCCGGGAAGTGCGAACCAAAAGGGTTGGTTTCTGTCCAAGATGCAGTGTTGTTGCAAGAATCCTCAGAACACTGCAACGTCATAGCAAGTGAATGCTGAACAGTTCAGTTTGCCTAGACGCTGAATGTACTGCAGCGTGAAGTTTATTGCCTGTTTTGTTTTCTCCACAGAAATAGCGCGTGATGCATGTACGGCTAGTAGTATCCTGAGTGTATGACGAAGCAACTGCTTTCCTTGCGCACCTTGCCGAAGCAGAAGGTAGCTTTGTGAACGGCTCATGTACTGTGAGAGGCAGCAGGTAGAAGGCCTTATCATGCTCTCCTGATTGTTGAGGTCTGGCAGAGTGTTACCGAGCTTTTCGATTATCTCCCAATTGCAGCATCGGCGCGATCCATCCTTCCTGCCGTGCTATGCTGTGTGCAGCATTGGAAAGTTTCTCACACGTTCTGGGTCGCTGCTATATAATCAGGCCACGTGCCAGCTTCGTCAGGCCAACTGATCAAGGAAGCAGATTTGCAGCGTTGGGTGTATGCAGTATGGGCGCAACAGCCCTGATTCAGCACTCAAATCCTCGATCGCAGGCCCGCGTTTGCCGCAACTCTGCTCAGAATTCAGCAAATTTACTTAGAGAAAGCCAGGGATTCCATGATCGGCATGTGCACACTTGGCAAGGGTTGCAGGCAAATTCATGGCTGCAATTTAGGTTGCTACACTAGCAGGCTGGTTCTTCTCATGAATGCTGCAGCCCAACGTGATGCAAGCTTCATAGTTTCCCTCATAGCATGTGGCACCCTGCTGCAAGCTGTATCAACTTACAACTAGATACCGCTTACCAGTTTCCTGCGCCTGTTGTGTGCCCCTGACCACACGCATGTTGCAGCATGGGTGGTATGGAGGACTCACGATTGTTAGGATTGGGGGTCTACCCTGAGGATTGTTGTTTTTGTGTGATCTGGCTCTACTTGGAGCTTCATACCAACTAGGTAGGCCGCGTATCTTGGCCCAGAGTATGAAGCACATTGCATAATCATTACTTCGGATGTTGAGGGTTCAGAGTACCCTGGCAAGTGTGGTATTTTCGTTCGAGTGGGGCAGCACCATGACCAAAGGACATGGCCAGGCGCAACCACTATGCAGCTGAACATATCGTCTTTCAGCGACATTCCATTCTCATATCTTTCCTGGCAAGAGACTAGAAGAGCAGTATGCTAGGATATTGAGATGAGGTTGGAGCATAGCAGTCAACAGTATGAGTGCAAGCAGAAATCGAGTTTGCCTCGTTCTCCATGCCTCTACTACTGCAAATCATTGTGGATTGCAGGGATCGTGTAACAAACATGGCAAGTCATTCTCATAGGCGTGGTTTTCATATAGAAGCGGCCAAGCAAGAGTGGGAACTGATGCAATCGTACATGGACAGTGTTCCCAACAGGCAGGGTCTAACGCAAGCACCTCTCGGGCTACTGCGACAATTTTATATATGAGCATATATGAAAGTTGTGTTTTTAGAGGTAAGTCGTCTTCTTGTACTCGCAAAACTGTAGAAGCGAAGTTTCTTCAAGCGCGTATATAGGCCTGCTTTGAGAAGCCTTCAGATGAACGACATGTAAAGGCATGTAGCGCGAGTGATCTCGACTTGGAGGAGGGAGTTGACCTTGAGGACGACCATTCTGCCGGGCAAGGCCAGCATGAGTACAGCACACTTGCACAGTTCTGTCCAATCGCTGACTCCTTCAAATGTTCTTATCTCTAAGCCATTCCCACGACGATTGTTGTCCGATGGTTCCATTGCGAGCAAATAGAATCACCACTTGAAGTTGACCTTGAAGTTGACTTGAAGACGCTTGGCTTTCAGCTGCAACATCCGCAACATCCTGCAAAGACAAGCAGCATGTGACACAATTTGATCTTGCAACAAGCGAGGAAGGACGCTACGCAGTTTGAGCATCATTATTCTGGTAAGGCTTCTCTGAATTGGTGCTCTGCTGCCAGCATCTTCAACTTGCTCTTAAAGGGGTCTTTCAAGGTCGCAAGCAACAAGCAGCACCTGCGTGAACCAGTCAGTGATACCTTGCATAGGTAACTGCATGGCAATCTTGTGTCCAGCCTGGTAGACTCTGACCGCATGCCGATAAACTTCGACTGGTTCGATCTTGGCCCGTTTGTGCCTTCTCTGCAGCTTCGCACGTGTGGAGTCAACCATACTGCGAGATGGCATTAACCGCGCAACAAGCGCGCAGTATCTGCACAACTCAGCAGCTTCGTCACGCTAGACTCCTGATGCAATAAGGCAAGCACCTTTTTCGTGGAGACAGGCCTCTTTCACGGAGAGGCTGGATGCTTGCATGCAGGTCGAGAGGTGCATGCTTCAGGCACAGCCTGAATATTTGGTCAGGTAGAGAAGCCCAATGAATCTTCCTAGCAGCCAGCGCAGCCAGCGAGCCTTGTTTCAAACCAGCAAGCCGGCCTGCAGCAAACCTAGCTTTGGCTAACCATCACCAGCACAAGGTGAAGGACAAGCTAGAACGACGACAAAGCATTTTGGAGGGGGGCTGAGCAGTGGTTTCTAGCAGTCAATTTCGGGTTTGCTTGCAACTTGACGGCCAGGGTGCGCTCAAGGCGCTGTCCAGCGGGCTCTTCAGACAGGCTTGGCGTCGAACATTGTCTGGTACATCTGCTGCCTTTCTGCATGCCCGATCTTCCAGACCATGCTGGTAGATAATTAGGAGTACTACCCGTTGGGTCAGGTGATCTCCATCGAGGCCTGTGCAACGAGCGTGACCTTGAGCGCATACTTCTAAGGTGCTGGGCTGCAGGTACATCGCCAGCCATGTAGATTATGGTTGCGAAGATAGTAGACATCTTGACCAGTGGCTTGAGAATCGATACGAGTCTTTGCGTCGGCCTGGATAGCCTTAAAGTCGGATGCAGGTAAATGCTCATCTTGTCGAGCGGGCGCAGGACAAGCTCAAGTTGCCCATAGCCGCAGGTTTGCTGAAGGCTCTTAGTCACGCCGTTTGCGCTAACGTAGCTGGAGTTCAGTCCAAGGCGAGCCATGCGCAGAAATGCGCAGAATCTGTCATGGTCAGACACAAAGTTGTGGGCAATTCAAGTTCTGTGCGCGCAGCTGCACCCCTTCCTCTGGGCTGGCAATGTGATGCACAAACACTGTGCAGTGCACGTGACCTCTCAACAGGTCGTGCACGACGACTCCACCAATCTATGGCAGCACATTCAGGATCTTGATGCGACCCTGGGACGAGAAAAGCATGCGGGTGGGGGGTGGTGACGAGCGTAGAGGCTGAGCTTAGTTGAGCTGGAGGCCCTGCACCTTCTTTCTGGATGCCCACGGCTACTGGGTGCAGGACGCCATGGAACTCAGCGATTGACTTAGTGCTATGTTTTCCCTTCCATATCCAGGAGTGTGCCGCTGGCGCTGCCGATGCATCGGATGACCGGGACCCCAATGCGCAGTGCCAAGTCGGCAAGATGGGTGGCACACGGTTACAACATGTTACAACACAACGACACCGGTCTGCATCATCTAAGTAGACTAGCAAATCGGAATCCCCCCTTCAGATTACCACCCTATATGAAACGGATTGCATGCCATAAGCTGACGTTCCCCCCATCTGATAAACAAAAATTGCAATGGTACCACCCCAATTGTATAAAAGCCATAGTTTTCGTGTAAAATGGGGGGTGCCCCATCGTACCCCCACTGCGACACTTAAGGGGGCGGGTACCCCCCACCGATGGAGAGGGGACGTGGTACCCTGTATTCCCCAATAAAAAGGGTTCTGGACACAAGGGATTATGATAACAAGCCAAAGACATGAAAGGCTAGAAAGATCAATAAAGGAAAGCATGCCCATGAGCAGAATACTTCAATCCATAGGAAATAAATGCATAATTAGATGTATATATGTACATATATCTATACATGTATATATGAGCGTATGTAAGCATTTTCTACCATGCTTCATGATTTTGTTTCTAGATCTCCCAGCACCAGTACTTGGTACCATGTCTCTGTGGAGGCGTCCTGGAAGGGTTATGTGAGGATTTAGCACCAGTGCTTGGTACCGAGGCTGCGTCCTGGGAGGCCATCCTTTGTACTGCTCGCAGGATGCCCACACAATCCCCGTAATTATAACCCTCACATAATCCCGACAAAATCACAGTATGATCCCAACAATTCCGGAAATCATTCTCACAAAATCCCAATATCATCCCTGTATAATCCTCACATACATAATCCTCCCCGGACGTAGCCCCGGCAACCTGGTACCAAGTACTGGTGCGAGGGAGGTGTAGAGTAAAAGACTGAGGCATGACAGTGCATACATATATATATATATGTATATATATATATATCTCTCTCTCTCTCTCTCTTTTTCTGTGTCTCTCTCTCTCTCTCTCTCTCTTTCTCTGCTTTTAGATATAAGTACATATACCTAAATATGTATATACACACATTGTCTTTATACTGTTCATGGGCATGCTCCCTTTGTTCTTCTTTCAGTTTATCTTTCGTGCATAACGAGCATGAAAATCAAAAAACAACACTTTCTTACATATTGACGTCCTAACCCCATTTCATCAATAAAACGTTGGGCAATGGTACCCCCTCATCTTGTATCTGTTTTAAGATTCTAAGGCCTTATGGGTTGACGACGCCTCCCCTCCACCCATTGTGTAAACCAGTTCTGAATTTGGAAGGGCAAAAAAGGTTCCTCCCTCCATTTTATAATGTATAATGGGAAAAGGTGGAGGTCACTGTCAGAACTTGAAGGGGATAAATCGGACATGGCTGAGCTTCGTAGCTGAGGAGTCCGTGCCCGCTACTTGCGGAATTGGAGGTCAGGCATTTTTGCATTGCCGCTAATTAAAGTCAGCGTTGTGGCTTGTTGCTGCCTTTGGGGGCACCCTGAGACTGAGAATTGCTGGGCAAATGGGAGCGATCGAAGAAGAGCACCTGACCCTGAAGGAAACTGACTCTTTAGGGTAGACAAGGGCGTGTAGGAAGAACCAGTTCTGGAGGAATTGCCTGAACTTGCAGGGGAACAAGATGGGGGCGTAGTGGGACCCCCTCGAACCCTCCATGGGAGCGTGGGAGCCACTCAAGAAATGGCGTTCTGGAGGACCAGGAGCCTCCGAAGAAGGGGAGGGAAAGTGACCTTCTTCGTGTGCAAGATGAGTCCTGGAAACCTGCGTCCAGACAAATTATGGGGACCTTCCCAGCTGGTTGGGAGTAGCAAGGCGACTTTGTTGGGAGTGGCGAGGCAACTAGCCAGGCGACTAGCCAGGCGAGCAAGGCGAGGGGGGGCAGCGGAGGGCACACGGAGCTCGCCCGTCTGCCGATTCAGGCTTAGGCCTGCTGGATAAAGGATTCAGTTCGGGTGATGAAATGTAGCAGCTCCTCTGGATTCCTTGTTATCTTCTTGTTTTCTGACAGAGAGTCCGAGAGGCCATCGCTCGGCACCCACTGGCACGGCAACACAAGGCGAGCGGGAGAGATGAAAGAAAGGTCCAAACCCTGGTCAGCTCTTGTCTGTCGGTTTCAGCCCGCTCATGTAGTCACCACAGTTGCTGGTTTGTTCATAACTTTCCGGAGTGTGAGACGTGGGCAGGAAACAGCGCGACGTAGCACGCACAAATGCTGTGTCGCACTGTCTTGTTCATGTCTAGTGATAGGTAGGAGTCTGGAATTGCTTGTGGAGAATATTTCAGGGTAGATTGCGAGGGCTTATGTCAAGCTACATATGGCTACGTATTCCTATTCCCATTCTAGACGTAAGGCATTCCAGGTCCTCAGGTCTGCAACTAGCCTGCTTGCGGATCTCCAAGCCTGCCACTGACCTGGTTCTGTGCTTCATCCCGACGGATGACCTAATAAACCCGTTTGATTACTTCTTCATTTGATGTACTCTTCTCTAGGTTATGTTGGAGTTTGTGAAATCCTGGAGTATTGCCATGCAACCTTACACACTCTGCACTCTGGTCCGGAGGATGGCATAGTCATTTAGCTTCACATTCATTCCTCTAACCACCGTTCAACTTACGGATTTACTTGATCACTAGCTTCTTCATTTCCTGCATAGCATCATCTTTTAATCAATAGTCGCCGTGGTCTCTGCATGCTTCCTGAGGCACCCTGAAGCCGTCTAGGTTCTGGTACTGCTTCATCATGCTCATTGTTGCTTTTCCTACTTGATGGTCGTGCTTCCGTAGCTGGCACTTCTCTGGTTCTCCTGACCAAACACGGCCAGCAGTTTCCTTCAGGATCCATCCACATCCAATTCCAAGCAGGAGGAGCGTTCCTACTCTTTCACCCTCGTCACCACCTGTCCTTCATCCAATGCTGCATCCAAACGTTCCACCATAGACAGTGCCATAACAAGTCTACAAGCTCTATCAACTTCTGATGCTGCTCTACGTCGTTACATCCCGTTCTCCAAATCTTGTGCTCGATTTCTACGCTTCCACAGAATTACAAATAGGAAGTTTCTTTGTGCTTGGGAGAGCTCCTTGGTGGGGGTTCAATTGGTAGCATGCACAGCACTCCGTCACGCAGCGCACTCTGCAAGTGAGAACTTTCCTGGCCATAGGCTTTGGATGTCCTAGTTTTCTGCAGACCCTACCAAGGCCAGCAACACCTGGCTTCTAAGCAGCCTCAAGAACGAAGCCAGCACTCTTCATACAGACTTTCCAATACTTCTCCGCCATGAGAACCAACTGGCTTCTTGATCGACATTGAATTCCTGGTATGTAATTGCCTGTTGCGCAAATCGCTGCCATGGGTTTTGCGAGATCAGCTTTACTGGCTCAATAAGTCGCAAACAGCCGGCTCTCCTTGTAGTAGCGTCTCAGAGATGGCCACCAAATTCATGAAGCTGCTGGCCGCAACTTGGCGAGAGAGTCTCAGAATAAGAGGGTTGGCAAGATGTTGTACCCACATCTAAGGGCAAAGCCGTCAACGATTTCCAACTCGCTGGTACCTTGGGGCCATCTACAGATCTGTCCGATGACTATGTGGAGCAAATGGTGGGGGGCTGCCACAATCATTCAAAAATCACTATCACCGTGGACGCCGCCTCCGGCCAGATCCAAGGCACCTGGGTCTGGTCGGAGGTGGCGGACCACATCCACGTTCACCTGGCCTGCCCTCTGGCCGCCTTGGACTCGCCAAGGATGGGCTGGAGGGCTTGCAAGCCAAGCCACCCGCCACAAGCCTTCACGCCTCACTCTAAGCCCTGTGTCGCTTGGACTGACTGAGGCTTCACGCCAACTGCGGGGGATCCCGATGTATGGGAGCGCCGAGTGTCTCTCAGGGTCCCCCACTCCCACCCGCGCACCTCCTCCACTGTACTGCCACCTCGACGCAGCCCACAGCCAAGGCCACCGCCGCGCCCAACTCCACCACCAACAAGCCCCCCCACCAACCTGTTCCCCGCCGCTGTTGAGCCACCTGGCCAGAAGCTACGTGAGTGATTCGCTGTTGTTGTGACCCTAAACCTTATTCTCTCTAAACCCTGTAAGCCCTATCACTCGCATAAACTCTTTATCTCCAATGCAAGCATAGCATCAGACGTCCCCGCATGGTGCATGGACAGTGGCAAGCTTGAGAGAGGTCTGCGGGCACAAGTTTTGAGGGAGAGGGCTTTTGGCATCGCGTCAAGTCCATGCAAACATAGCATCAGACGTCCAGGCATGGTCCATGAACAGTGGCAGGTTTGAGAGAGGCTTGTGGGCACAAGTTTTGAGGGAGAGGGCGGCTCGCATGTGTCAAGTCCATGCAAGCATAGCACCACATTTTTAGACAAGGATCTTAGTAAGTGGGCCCGGCGGCCAGCGCCCGAAAACTTCAGGGCATCTTCTTGAGGGCTAAGGACCCGCCATCAGCCGCCTACGCCAAAATTAATATTGCAGATTTTGCGAGGTGTTGATCGACGATCGGCGTTGCCTGCAGCCGGGGTGGGACCATCCCACTCAAAGCCGCATGAGTGCACTTTTCCAATTTTGCAGGCTTCAGCGGTTTAGCTGCCCATAGGTGCTGCTTACGTTGCATTCAAGTGAAAATGAGCTCTTTAGAACCCTTCCATTTCAACATCCAAACGTTCCCCACCTTGCCTAGGTTGGTGGCGTGGTCTCAGCGAGGACTTGCAGAAGGGAACGGGGGCAGCATCGGGATCTGCGTTTCAGCAGCTTAGCTAAGTCAATTGGCCAGGACTCCAAGGCTCAGGAAGTGTTATGCTGTGGAGCAAACTATCCTTAATCCGAGCATCAAGTTGTCCTAAGTGGAAGTCAAGCCAACTTAAAAAACTGCACATGATTGTGCCCCAAGCAGGAGATGGTTGTCGAGAAGCTTCGAATTGTGAACCCAGACTTCAAAATCCAGCATCTGGCCACCAAGAAGGCATTGTGTTCACGGCGTAAGGCTGACCAGAAAGATGTTCTTCTGTGCGTGGAACGCGTCAGGAAAAGGGATTCCAGAGTTGGACTCGTTGGTCCCAAGGCAATGATGGTGGAAGGCAATGCAGGATGCGCAATTCCCCACAAAAGCTCTAAGCGTGGGTTACCGCGATTCTCCCGTTCAGAAAGCCAAGAGCTACCCATGGATGACTCTTGTGTGTTCTTGCCCATGGCACGGAACGTCAGACAAGCTGGGTGGACGACGTTGGGTTGTTGCAATTATTTGTTTTCTGTTTTGCTTCCGTGGCCTCATTTCCGTTTTGCTTACAATTTCTGGCTTTGCTTCTAGCTTCTTGTTTCCGCGTCTTCCTTTGCTCTTCGCTTCTGCATGGCTCGTGCTTTCTGCAGATTGCTTTCTGCTTACAGCTTGTTGCTTCCTCTGTTTGTTTTCTGCTTATTGCTTTCTGGCGCTTGCTTGCTGCTTGTTGCTTTCTGGGTTTTGCTTTCTGTTGTTTTGCATCCTGCTTGTTTTTTGTTTGTTTGCATACTGCTCGTCACTTTCTGCTTGTGTTTTTTCAGTTTTTTTTGCTTCCTGCATAGCTTTCGGCTTGTTACTTTCTGCCTTTTGCTTGCTGCTTGTCGGTTTCTGTGTTTTTTGCTTTCTGTTTTCACTGCTGCTCTCTGTTTCGTTTACCCTCTATCATTTTTATTTGAGGCCGTGCGAGCTAACCGCTAACCTCAACGGAAATTGCGCATCACCTTGCTTCCAGAGATCCTAAGCCCTAAACTCTGAGCTCCATGTCTTTATCGCCATGTTAGGAAAGTTGCCTGCAAGAGTGTTTTTTCCAAGCAGTTCGCTCCATCAGCATGACATTTGATCATCATGTTTACAAAAGGGGCAGGCGGCACGCTCCCCAACCCCCTGCTACGTTGAAATCCGTGCAAGTCTAGCTGACAAGAGTATAATTGTATCACCACCTTGTGTTTTTTGCAAGATTTGCGAGCGAGAGTATTTTGCAAGAGGGGCGTCCGAGCGGCATGTCATCTGATGATCATGTTTGCAGATCAGGGGGCGCACCCCCCGCAAGCGCGAATTCAACCAAATGTCGAGCTCCATGCTTCTGCATGCAAGACAAGGAAGCTCACACAAAGGCATGTTGACCACGAAGACGTTCGGGATGAGAGCGTAGCTGTCTAGCAAACATGCGACGTTGGTTCTCCCGACCATTTCTAGTCGAAACGCCAAGAAGCCCGCGCAAAAGTGCAACGTTGAGCCGCATAAGAGAATCAAAGCACTCTCAGTTCTGCACTTCGTGACGATCGACCCCCTAAACCCCCTCATGTTGAGCCTCGGAGAAAATGCCTTTGCAGGCAACCTTTGCGGCATGGTGATGAGACAATACAGTACTCCCCAAACCTCCCCAATTTGCAAGCATCTTGATGAGTTGTGGTGTGAGAGGAAGAGACGCACCCAACCACTGAAGCAGGCTCCATGTACCAGGGCAGTGCTAGCGATAACAGCAGGGTGGCTGGCGAATGAGATGCCACGGTGGTTTGGGGCTTAGAGTTTGAGGGTGAAGTCGTGCTTTTGCGAGGAGCAGCCTCGCATTTTCGCTAGAAATCGCGCTGTCTGCAGCGTCCGCCCATTTAGTGGAGCGTCTTCCTATTTTGTTTGTGGGATGTTCTAAGGGAGGAGAAACAAACAGTCCTAAATTAGATCTGCGCCCATCTCTTTTTAAGAAGCCTGTCCGTGGATCTGGCAGCCCTAGAGTGGTTCCAGTATTTTTGATTCTAGTTTGTTCAGATGTATGGTCTACTGCTGACTTGAAAGGCTCGAGGGCGGGAACATTGCAAGGAATTCAATTGGGGGTTGTCCGAAAACCCTTGTCTACAATTTTAGATCAACTAAAACCACGTGTGACATAATTTGTCAAAAGCCCCGCGCGCGCAAGAAGCTCCGCGCAAGCACGGCGCAAGGTTGGCGCAAGGGTTCGAAAACGCTCATGGCATTATAGTTGTTGTGTGATGAGCCTGCACGAAAACT